TTTGCATCATCAATAATCATAGAATTAAGGAAAGATTTCCAAATTCAAAAATCATTATCTGCAATAAAGATGGCACCTCAATTAATTGTAACTAATTGCAACATATAAAAATTGAATTGTGGTTGTGGTTGCAGTTGTGGCATATGAAAATTGAATTACGGCTAATTGCGGTTCCCATATTTAATCTGCAATGAAAATTTCTTAATCCTCAAGAATGGCTAAAAGACAAGGAATCTTTAATGCTTTATGGTGAATTAGAATTGGAAGAATTAGTTTCAGTTTATGGGAAAAAATATTTACCAGATTATCCTTTAGGTCTTATAGATTCTGTTGCTATTCAAGAAGAATGGTTTGGGTTTAAAATAGTGGTAGATTCAAATTATCAAGATTTAGCTATAGATCTTTATTATATGATAATTATTTAGATAGTTATCCAAATATCTTAAAACTTATGGAAATAGTGTACTCAATTCCATTTTCTAGTGTAGATTGTGAAAGAGATTTTAGCAAACAGAATTTTATCAAAACAGATTTATGTAATGCAATGGAAAATGACACATTGCACTTATTAATGATGGTTGGTTTAGAATGCACTGATTTATTTGGTTATGATTTTAGTGATGCTCTTAGTAAATTTCTTCAAAGTAAAAACAGAAGAATAAAATAAAGAAAATTTTTAAATTTGAAAAAAAATTTTAGCACCCAAAAAATTTTCTTCCGAAATATTTTTAGCATTCAGGAGTAACTTCCGTTTTTTTTTCAGACTTATTTCCAGCCCTGATTGTATTCAACCAAAAATTAAAGGCTTTGCTAAAATAAATAAATAAATTTTTTTTGGCTTGAACAGTCAGTCACCTTGGTCAAACTCCAAGTTTGCAGTCCAATCATATCATGTAAATTGCTGTAATCACACAGCCACCAATCTTCCATGTCGTCATCTTTGTATATTCGCTTCCATCTGTCCTTAGTATCAGTGAATATGAAAATAGAGAATTAATAAAACTTATGCTTCGTTAGAAGAAAAGAAAGAAGAACTACACCTAAACATGGATAGTTTCCTTTATGATTGTGTAAAGTATTTTATGACAAATAAGCTAATTGAAATTCCAAAAAAAATATTTATTATTAATTTAGATTGAATTAAATAAATAACAAATGAAAGAATATATAATGAATGTGAGAGATGATAAATATATAAATATATATATATAAATATATTTTTATTCAAAATGTTTAAATAATATGATAAATAATAATTAGTTAGCACAATTAATAATCCAATATTAATACAATTATTATCGATGAAGCTTTCATAATCTTCTTGTACAAGTTTCTTTCTCGCATATCTTTTTCAGATAATCTTTGAAACTATGAATCATTTGAGGTTAAATTTGTTGTCGAATTAGAATTTGCATTATATTCATCTGAATCAATAACATTAACAGTTGTAGAATTCATGGAGGTTTTAGATGAAGATGATGATATTGATTGAAATGTTACTAATTTTGGATCTTTGGGCAACCCAGTTTGTGGATCAATATTATTTGATTTGAATTTCATCTGTTGCCTATACAGTCTAGCTTGATCAAAATTCAATCCTTCCCTTTTCATTATACGTCTAATTTCCGAGGCGTCATCAAGTCCTGATCGGTCGTCTCCATCCACAACATTTTGATGAAGGTCAAATGTTTCAGAGCTTAGACCATGTTCAATATCTTGTCGGAATGAATGAGTGGAAAAAATTGCTGGTAAACGTTGATATCGTTGATTTAATGATGGCCAATGTGTTAATATTTTTTGACGGTAACGGAATGTGGCTTGATATTCAAATGGAAGAATTTATTAGAATAATGGTTAGATGGAATTGGGTAGGAGGTGAATGAAGGGAGAGGGAAGAGAAGAAACAAACAGGTACGTTAATAAATTGTAAGAATTATTATTATTAAAATCAAATAAATACTTTATTTTTTTACCTATTAAACAAATTAAAATTAAAAGTAACAAGTAAAAAAACATTGTTTTCTTTTCTCTCCCCGGAGAGAGGCTTTAAAAATGGAATAATAAAAGAGTGTGAATTACGGTAAACTTCTTTTTTATTAAAAAGAAAAAAAATAATAAAATAAGTTTATATATAAATTTTTTTTTGCCATATAATACCGTGTAACAAAAAAAAACCGGAAATCTATTTATTTGTTTCTCAATAATGATTTAATGAAAATAAGAAAGCTGAAACAGAAGTTTGTTTCTATTAATATAAATTTTATATGAAACTTGTTTTTAAATTTGTTCCATTTAAAAATTCAATTATAAAAATCAGCAAATTCCCGATGCTTCAGGATTCTTCAGCATTTTACTCTTAACAAATTCGCCAAAAATTTTGATTGTTTCGATACATGAACATTGTTGAATAACATGTTTTTAAGTTGAATAAATTTTGAGCTTAAAATAATCGACCTTCAAAAATCCTATTTAAATTCAAAACAACATCTTAATCTTTGTGATAAGTTCATTATATATGGGCAATTATTGGCTTGCTAGAAAGAACAAGTTTTTTTGTTACACCGAGTAAAATAAAAAATTAAAAGCCAAATTGCACAGAGTCACATGAAATGATTAAATAAAGAATGCAGAAAGAAAAAATAATAATCAAAAGTATGAAAATTTAATAAAGAAAACTTTTAAATGAATCAGAATACTCTTCTGAACAATAAGCTAAAGTGTATTGGAATTTCACAACTTATGTAATAAATTAAAAAGTCTCAGAAAAATTTAGGAAAAGAAAACCACATCCTAGAAATAAATATGAATTGGTTATTGCATTGAAAGAAGAATGGGTAAAAATTGATCCTGAAATAGTAAAGAAATTATTTGATAGTATGCCTAGAAGAACTGTTATTGAAATCCAACAATAATTTTATTGTGTAAACTATTTAATAATAAAAAATCTGCAGAATACAAATTCTTAAAAACTTTTACATTTTATCGAGTTATTTAGTCTACACTTAACCATTTTAATACTTAATAGTACAAACCATCATTCAACAGAGTTTTTCTAAGCTCAAAGTGTTCATAGATATTACAAGATTTTTACAAAGCTTTTAAAGCGTGCGCTAAGCCTGGTTCGTTATTTTTCAATTATGATCATCAGGTGATTGGGTATTTTGTGTGCACTTTTTTACTACGCCAATTAGATTGTCTAATAAAAATGATTGGGCTGGCAATTTTGTTCGAAATGATTATTTGCGGAAATTTTCAAAAAAAAAATTATGCAACAAGGAAAAGCTTTTAAATACGGGTTAACTCTAACCAACAAAAAAAAACCTATATGATCGAATTTTTCCAGAAACAATTTCCAAATTTAGAAATTATCTTATGATCCTTTGTCACATGATTATATAATACAACATGTAAATTCGGTATAGTAATAATAAAGTCGCACACAACTTCAAACTGTTACAACTCCTCGTCTATCATTTAAAAAAAAAATTTTTTATTTCAAAACAATTTTTTTTTCCTAATTGATTATGTCTTTAGATGATGATCTGCATTGTATTCACCGATTACAATTCATTCTCTATATATAACGGCCCTTCTATTTTTGCTGAAAAAATCCGTTATTATTATAGAAAGAGACCATTATAAACGGTATATGAGATGTATAAACCAATTTTAATTGGGGCCAAATCTCAGTCCGTTATAGAAAGGCCGTTATCATTATAGAAAGTGTGTGAACTGTATTCGGGTGAAAATTCTCAACATTCGATTAAGCCAATTATTGTTGTTGAAACAATTTCAACGCCTAATTAATTGGATAATTGATGAATAATCGGCGAATGTTATTCAACAACCTCTATACATGACAAATCGTCCGAGTTGTATATCAGATATATATACTTATACTAAAATTCGAACCCCAGAAATTTCTTTGCGCGCCAAGCAAAAGGGACACATTGCCAAAATCCCAATTTACGATATCTCAAAAATTTATTTAAGCCAAGCCAAAAGCCAAAAATGTTCTTCAAGAGATCACACACACTAATACCTACTAATACATATAGATGTGACATTAACGCAAAAAGATGCCATTCTCTCCCACACGTATAGTATAATTCATTATGTCATTGTTTGATTATATTCTCAATTTGGAAAATTGATGTAAAATTTTACATCAACCGACATGACCAAAATTGTAAAAAAAGGGACAAAAACACGTGAAATAATAATATTTACATCATAAAAAATAAATAAATATAAATACCTTCACTCTCTCACGAATTTATTATATTAATAAATAAAAAATAATAAAAATATGAGCTATAAAACTTTTATTGTAAAAAAAGTAGCAAAACACGTTTTATCAAATACTCGTTCTAAGCAAAATGCTCAAGATCAAGATACTCAAAACATTATTTCTTCTTCTTCAACTAATCCAAATGCTCATACCAATAATAATGATGTCGGAGAACATGGCGGTGGTGGAGTTGGAGGAAAAAGGAAAAAGAATAAGTGGAAAATACCACCAAATTTGACACAAAAAGAAGCCAAAGTTTTAAAACATTTTAAAAAAAGGGCATACTGTTATGATGTATCATGTTGTAATTGTTGTGGAATACAGATTGGATTGGATCCAATTATAGGTAAAATAAATTCGATTTAATTTAATTAATTAATAACAAATACTACTACTTAATGTTAATAACAAATAAAATAAAGGTATTATACCATTTGTTGGAGATTTTATGGGAACCTGGTTATCTTTGATGTTATTAAAATCAACAAAGGAATTGGATTTACCACATTTTATTAAGATGCAAATGGCAATGAATGTATTAATAGATTTCTTGGTAATTTAACATTTAATATTTATTTAAATATATTATATTTATTTATTACCATATATTTATATTATTTTTTTTTTAGGTGGGGTTGGTTCCGCTCATTGGTGATTTTATAGATTGTATATATAAAGCAAATACCAGAAATTCTGTAATTTTAGAAAATTATTTAGTTGATAGATCAAAAAATAGGTCAGTTGTTATGGAGAATGGGGCGGTGGAAGTTATTAGGGCTACATAACGATTTGTAATAATAATAATATTTATTATCAGATAAAGACAACCATTTGTATTATCGTCAACGTATTTATAATAATATATATATATAAATGCATGTGTGTGTGTATGTATAAACAATAAACAATATATAATAATGATATAACAAATTTAACTTCATATATTAAAAAAAAAATTATCAAAAAAAACCAATATATATATAAATACAATAAATAATGACAAATAAAATATATCATAAAATATATATAATAAAAACAATACGATGACAAAAAGTCTTTTGATATAAATTATGAATTAATGAAAAATAAAAAAATTATATTATATTTATTTTTTTATAAATAAATTTTTTTTTTAAATTGAATTTTTGATCGATCAAACTACTACCAACCAAAACCACCACCACCACCTCCTCCTCCAACACCAAATGAATTATTATTACTATTATTTTGTGAAAATTGTATTTCATTGAGAGTTTTTGGTTTGTTTAAGGAATTATTGTTATTAGCAGGTTGTTGAATTTGAAATGGATTTTTACTAAATTGATTACTACTGATACTTCCACTATCACTAAAATCAATAAGTGTATTATTATTAGTAAGAGTGGATGATTGTTGAGAATTCGAATATGGACTTAATGAAAGACTGCTAGAGCTTTCAGCTGGGTAAAATGGATTTGATTGATTTGCAATATTGCCAGTTGAATTGGATTTTCTGGGTATTAGAGGATCCGAAGAATTTGCAAATCCTGTTCCGCTATTTTAGTGAAATAAAAAGTTGTTTGATTTTTTAATTATCCAAAACATTTTTTATATTTTAAAAATTTTTTAAAAAAAAAAAAAATAATAATAAACTTACACCGGAACTCGAAGATTTCCAATATTACCAAATGTGTCCATTCCATCTCTAATAAAATATAATCGATTATATTAGGTGACCGATAACAATAACAACATAATAAATTTGATGATAATAAATATCCATTGTTATTAATTTCTTACTGTCTGTTTCCAAGAGCATTTGCCAAACTTGCATACTTTTCATCTTGTGGTTTGACAGGCTATTGTTAAATGTTAACAAAACGATATTAAACTAAAAAACTTTTTTTAACGGTTAATTATTATTAATTTATAAAAATAATCAATTACCATTATATTATTATTATTAGAAAATGATGAATTTAACGATGATGTGTTATTTATTAAATTTGGGGAACTAACTCCAACATTACTAAATGATCCCATACTATTATTTCCAAATGAAAGTTGTTGTTGTAGCTGCAATTGTTGTTGTTGTTGTTGTTGTTGAGCAAATGGATTATTTGAACCAATTGAAGAATTGCTTGTTTGAAGTCCAAACTGTGATAAATGCTGTTGGTTATAAGTATCAGTAAGCAATGATTGTTGCTGCTGTTGTATTAGGTTTGGATTGCCAATAAATTGTGACTGACTCATATATGGAATTGCAGTTTGTTGATTATCAATCGAATCAAAAAAATCAATGGTTTTATTGTCTGTATTACTAGAACTTCCAAATTGAGAATTGTTTCCAAAGAGATCTGTTTGTTGTGAAAATGGATTATTGCCACTTGGTCTATACATGCATGTGTGCGAGTATGTGTAAGCGTATGTATTAAATAATTAAAATAGATCATTTATAAAATCTCCTACTATTAAATTGATATTTACCCAAGATCAAGAAGACTCATTTCAAGTTTTTTATTCAATTCCTCTTGCCTTCGTTCTTCTTCCTCCTTACTTAACCTTAATGCTTTTGCCAATTCTTCATCATCCTCACTATAAAATATATTTTAAAAAATCAATCAATATATGTAATATTATTTACACAAATATCTCTATATATCAGAGAAAATTTTTATACCTTTCTTTTAATCTTCTCTCATAATCTTGTGCAGACCTTTTGCTTTCTTCAATTGCCTTTCTTAAATCAGCCTCTTCATCAAAATAACTAGGACGTTCATATGAAGATGCGCTATCGTTATAACTTCTATCTGTCAAGGGATCATCATTGCCTGTCAATCTTCGTCTCAATTCAGTACGTTGTTTTCTTTCATGCTGTAAACGTTCATCATCCTGAAGGAGTTCAGTGATCTCCTTGGCCCTTTGTCGAACTAAATAAATTATAAAATAAAAAATTATTCATTCGTTTGTTGCATTTAATACAGTTTAAATAATAATAATTTTTTGTACCATTCTGGCCCTGATCTTTCAGATCATCGTCAATGTATTGGAATTCTCTTAAAGTTTTTACCACATATAAATTTTCTTTTGCGTATGAAACAACGTCCTGGGACCCTACATGAAGACAGTAATCTAATAGAACAAGTGCCTATAATAAAAATAAATACGAGTATACACTTTTAGATTGATATAATTGCTTTTTCATTAAAAAAATTTTTTTTGAAGAATATAACTTACTTTGAAAACATGCCTCCAATTTTTACCATGATCGTTTAACCTTTTGTCAACCATTTCCATAATTTCTATAAATTCATGACTAATTTAATTTAATTTAATTTATGTGAGTATTTATTAAAAAAAATAGGAAAAATAATTTTCTTCAAATCAATTATTAAGAAAAAGAAAAAAGAGCGTACTGATTAAATGTAGCTTGAGCAATTTCAGCCATTAATGTACTATTTGGACCCCATGGATCGTTCGAAGTTGCAGATCTAACCTTGGCTTGGATATCTGAATATCCTTTAGTGTAATTTTTTCTATAAATCAATGTGAGTATTTACTTAGTTGGAATCAAAAGATGCTTTAAAAGTCATAATAATAATTTATAGTTTTTCCATTTTATTCTTCTTCTCATTGTCATTATCAATATAACTTACAATGTGCGAACGGCACCTTTTGCTTTATATTTTGAGACATTCATTCCCTATTAACAATAGTACAATTGATTTAGTGTTTCACAACGTGAAACATATTTTCATATTTTTTAAAAGTTTTGACTAATTTAATTTAATTTAATTTATGTGAGTATTTATTAAAAAAAATAGGAAAAATAATTTTCTTCAAATCAATTATTAAGAAAAAGAAAAAAGAGCGTACTGATTAAATGTAGCTTGAGCAATTTCAGCCATTAATGTACTATTTGGACCCCATGGATCGTTCGAAGTTGCAGATCTAACCTTGGCTTGGATATCTGAATATCCTTTAGTGTAATTTTTTCTATAAATCAATGTGAGTATTTACTTAGTTGGAATCAAAAGATGCTTTAAAAGTCATAATAATAATTTATAGTTTTTCCATTTTATTCTTCTTCTCATTGTCATTATCAATATAACTTACAATGTGCGAACGGCACCTTTTGCTTTATATTTTGACATTTGATTTCTTATTTTATTTAAAGATTGTTATTCTTGTTTTGTGAAAAAAAAATTTTTTGAATAATTTTAATTTTTTATTGTAATTCGAAAAGCGTAAACTCAGAGTAATTTATTTATATCTCAAGTCACATGTGTGTAACATTACCAAATAAATTACTGAAAAATAAAAAGCCAAGAGTTGAAAGGTGCGGCGAGTTTATTTTATAAATTGTGCTTATTTAAATATAAAGATTTCACTGCTTGTTATAAATTCAAATGCAATAAAAATATAATAAGTACGCCTTGTTCCGATATTTAGTACAATTTTTATGAAAATCAAGGAAAATAAATATCGAGAACCAATTACGACCAATCTTAAAAGTTCATTATGAAAAAAATTATTTCATTATTTATAGTCATCGACCGAATCACAAACAATAAAAATTAAATTTCCCCATTTTTTATAATATCATAATTTATAACATTTTGGGTTCACCTTTAGTAAAAAACTTTTAAAAAATATGAAAATATGTTTCACGTTGTGAAACACTAAATCAATTGTACTATTGTTAATAGGGAATGAATGTCTCAACATTTTCAACATACTAAATAGTGCCTAATTTTTTATAAAATACTCTTCCCGTAATGGCATAACATTATTAAGTTGCTTATTTGGATCAAAATTAGAATTAATCATAAGAGATTAACACAAGTCACCTCACCATCGGCCATATGCTTTTCCAATATCTTCTTCAAACGTTCTACTAAATCTAAAATGAAGACGCATTTTAATTTGTAAAAATTCCCTTCAGAGGATAAACTAAGATCATACCATTTCCACTCGGGTTTTTTAATGCACTGACATTATCAGCTAATATTTTAGGGGGGGCAGCAGAATCTTAGGTTACGCATCATATTGTAATAGTGAAATAATACTCGATATTTATAAAATTTATTTACAAAATTCTTATATACATTCTACGTAAATGCTATATATAGCTGTATAATCGATCATTTTTTATTTGATATATATACATTCCCTTAAATGCATTTTGTCAAAAAGAGGTCAAGGGCCCTCGAGTTTGTTCTTTAAGCAGAATGCATTGCTCGTTTATGATTCGTTAAATAAGTAAGAGTTGGAAAGTATTTATTACACTCGGAACAACAAAGATACAAATAGGTTGTTGTTTGGTCAAGGGATGGGCAATGCAATAAAAGTCGAACGCGGTATAAAACTCTACAGCACATTTTATAAATGGTCATGATTGTTGTACAGCAATAATCAGCATAATAGTTTGATTTATTAATATTAATAAATCTAATTTATCGGAGGAAATATTGTGATTCTTTTTCTTCATTTGTAAAAAAGCCAAATAATCTATGTACACGTGATCAAGATATCTTACCTTGGGGTAAGCGCCTCTATTAAAATGATAATGTCAGCGCCTTTATTAAATACAAAGCACAATTTCCATCTGCTAAAGTGTCGACTACTGTGTTTCAACATCATTTAATTGCGTTGATTCATTTTTTTTTTTTTAAAGAAATACAATTTGCAAGAGAGGACTATCAAAACCTGTTTGCATGTTGTGAAAAAAGAAATAATCGCCTTCGAAATTCGTTCAACAAGATATTGATTTGACCGAAAGATAATCCACTGTAGAAAAAATTGCTGATATCACTGAAGTTAAAGGCTTTGAAAAATAAAAAAATAATTATATTAATATTGAAAAAGAAGAAATGCAGCAATAAAACCTAAGCCACAAGATTCTTTAATGGTAACATAAAATAATTTTTTGATCACGATCTTGCATTCTTATTGGCCAATTTAACGATCTGCAATGTAAAAATAGTCGATCGACCAACTTTTAAGGAAGATTTTACGAAAGCCACAACAACCGAATTTTTATTCACAGATCAATTAGTTGAAATCTCAAAGAACATTTTCGTATTAGGAAGTGATACCTTCAGAAAAAGTTTTTTATAACAGAAAAAAAATTTCGGCTATCAATAGTAATAGCCGAAAAACCGTTTAAGGGATAATAATAAAACGGGTGTAACCTGCATGAAATTTATTGACAAACAGGGACTCATAATGTCAATGACACAAAACACAAGAAGACACGTGTGCATTGCAAATTTTCTGGTCACAGCAAGTCAATCTCATATGTACGCTGAAATGGATTTTATGGGTCCAATGAAAATGATTATTCTTTATACGCAATTTTATTTTTGATTCATAAAACTGTTTAAAACTAGGGTTACTACCGTAATTATAACTCCATATTCGAATATTCGTAAATCCAAAAAAAATTACGAATTTCGAATATTATTTCGGATACTCGTAATTATTTCGGGTGCTTGTAATTATTTTGAATGCTCATTATTTCAGATATTTGTATAATTCTAATAAACTATTATTAATTTTTTCTTGTTCTTTAATTGATAAAGTTTCTTTTTTGGGTATCATCAATTTAATTGTTTATTTCAAGCTATATCAAAAAATTATTAATCTTTTATTATCTTTGAAAAAATGTTGTTATATAGTAGGATAAGTTACAAATAAGTTAATACTATTTGTTATCAATCGATAATCATTCATATATTTTCATAATAAATTATTATATTCAAAATAAACACAAGTATCCAAAATAATTACGAAATAAATTATATATATTCAAATATTCTTGAATAAATTGATTTTCGAATATTCGTAAAAAATTTGATTTTCGGTTAGGAACACTATTTAAAACCCGATTTAATAAAACCTTTGTGAGAAAATTTCTATAACAAAAAAATCAAATTGAATATTTACAGTGAGGACAAATAAGATATAACCAAAATGTCAGTTACATATCTTCAACACCAACATGCTATGCTAACAATTAATAAATGCTCAGAAGAGAGCATCAAGGAATGGTTCATATGTATTGCAGATTGAAATAATCTATGGAATGGAAAGGTCAGTCTAAGCTACCCGGGCAAATCTTCTAGTAAATTAAGTATCCTTCAAAGGCCCAGGCATGCTAAGAAAAGAGCGCATGAAAAATGATGGAAACTAAATCAATTAATGCTATTCAAGTGTCAGTTATGGTTTTTTGAGTTCACTAATCACCTCAGGTGAAATATAAACGTAAACATAACACTTTTTTCAACACTACTGGCAAAGATAGCAAGATCAAGCCAACTAAAAAGCCAAGGAATTACTAGAATGAAGCAAAATCATAATTGGCTACGAGAAATGTCCTTGCTTAGCAACCTCAAGGAAGCCACATGCTATCATTTCCAAATACTTCTTCAGTGTGGTTTTAGAGAGGTGCAATTAGAGCAAAAACGATTAGGCGGTTATTTATTTACGGAAAACCAGGGTATTTTTGCTGGGGCTACCATTTTCGACCCATTTTGCTATACTTTATAGCTACCTCCATTCATAAGCAAAATTTCATATCGGTTCCGATATCAACGATTGTCCAACTAAAGAATTATTATTAGCGATCCAAAATTGCTTGACTGCATATTTGCCATAGAAAAAGGAACCGCACGTCCATTTCCCGAAGGGCATGATAAGCTTATTTAAGATGCTAATTATGATCCTGCATCACAACCAAACTTTCGAGTTAAAAATAACCGGGTGTAAGATAGGTCAAATAAAAATTTCATGGATTAAATTTTTCACCAATAGATATAAATCAGGCAAAATGCATCATAAAAAAATAAGCACTCAGCTATATTGGCAAGATAGTTATGATAGCACAGATCTCTTAGTAGAGGGCGGGAGGAGGTTGAGTACATGACAGTGAGCTGCACAGCACCCATTTCATATCTTCCACCTAAGCTTATAGGAAAAATTATAGTCAAATAGAAGACCAGTTAAAATAGCAAATGTCATACGAGTTAATTCCACATGGTATTGGGAAGGAAAAAATGATTATGGAATATATAGTAATGAATAAAAAACTAAAAGACTTAAAGAATCGAAAAATTAATGAAAAAGAATGTGATGAAGTAATACAAAAACTAATATATCATGATAATAATCTCATGTTTTCAAATTTAAATCTTCTTTCAGATGAAGTTAATGAAGGTAATGAAGCTAATGAATATACCGAACTTGAAAGACCACTAGACGACAAGTCTGAAAGAAGAATCGAATTAATCAAATATATGCATGAGAAGACAGGAAATTTGATGTTGCTGTGGAAAACAAGATATTGTTAGATGAGCAATAGTCGCTATTCTATCTTTTCGTACAACTCAAAGTCTTGATGGGTAATAAGGATGATAAGATATAAAATTATTTTCCGAATTAAAATTTTCTTTTTTTATAAGACTACATGTTGATAACCAAAATTTTGTCCAAGATACATGTATATCTTGAAAAAAATGTCAGCCATATTCCCACCAAGCTTTTCTGGTCCAAACTATTTTCGAAAAAAAGTAGCTTTGGGGTTCTCAATATTTTTTATAAGAATAAACATGAAAAAACAACCCAAAATGCTTCGGCAATTTCGGCTACTAAGAGAGGTAGTTTCATCGGTGGAATCCGTGAAAGAATATATGGTATGGTTATATATGCTGCCCAAATTAAAAATCATGATTCCCAAATCCTAAATTACTTTGCTAATTTATGAGAACCATAGAAAAAAGGAAAGAAATGAAACACCTAAAAAATAGGGCCCCATATTTGAAAACGTTTACCTTGTGCATGGTTGACAGCACAATAGCTACACTCTGCAGCTTTCAAAGTGGCATTCAAAATGAAGGGTTCCATCAGAAATCTCATTTTTTGTTTTCGGAAATTCTTGGTACTAAAAATTAAAATTTTGAACCCTGGAATTTATCCATTGTAATATATCTTTTTTTACAAAAAAAAAAAAAAAAAAAAAAATGAATATAGATATTGATCAAATTGGTAACAAGTTGTTTTGTTAATTAAATTGAGTAAAATTGACAGCATTTCAATATTAATTATTTATAAATTTGTTAGCTGTTGAACATTTAACTGCCAGAGAACGTAGAAA